TCTCTTTTTTTTTTTTTTTTTTTTTTTTTTTGCATAGTGGTTCTTGAGATGATGTCACTAAATTTAAAAAAAAAATAAAAAATAATTAATTATCTCCCCTTGAAAGAGGATCTGGCCCTTCATTTGAACAAACTTAAATCCCCTTTATCCATGAATGCTTTGTGGCAAGTTTGGTTGAAAGAAGATGGGCGAACGCGAGCGAAAAACCTATGGTGTGACAAATATGAAGGTGAAAAAATTAATCTCAATTAAAACAAAATTTTCTTTGATATTTCAGCTAAAATTAAAGTATACTTTATGTAAAATCTCCACAATTTGCAAAAATCTCACAAAGATTGAAGTTATTTGTCTATGCAAAAGCATACACACACCAAAGAGGACAAAAATGATCATTTTCTCATACTGTAACACAATTTTTCCATATGAGTGGGTATTCGCTCCATTTTTTTTTTTTTTTTGGAAAGGTCATCCTCAATGTTTGCGTAAAAAATATACATTTTGTGTTAATAAAAACCCCAGTTTTATCGGCACATGTATAAGAATAACGCAAAAATATTTTCCAGATAATCATTACTACAGTACTGAACACAAAAATTAACATTTAATCTCTAAGTACATGCATATAATTATTATAACGAAAAAAGAAAAGAATAGGCTGATTTATCAGATTAAATCAAGAATTCCGGTATATTGGCATATTATAGTACATACGTAATGTACACCAATCCTGGACACCATGTTTCTCACTACAGTATTGCGAGTAATGCTAAATTAATATATACAACTTGTTTTCTTATCTATCTGCCTTTGACTTTGTCTATCCGTCTGTCTGTCTGCCTAGCTGTCTGTCTCTCTCCCTCTGTGTGAGTGAATCTCTCTCTCTCTCTCTCTCTCTCTCTCTCTCTCTCTCTCTCTCTCTCTCTCTTCACGACATTGATGAATATTCGTCAAAATATGTGCAAATGTTTCCTGTACATAATATTGTCGCCGACGACAATATGTGCCGATGCATGACAGTACATTTGTCGTCCTTTATGCAGGAGGGAAAAAAGGCCCGGCAATATGTACCGATGGACGACAATGTGTGCAGTGGAGGTACATGTAGGTACCGTACATATTGTAGCTGACGACAATATGTTACAGAACGACAAAACGTACCGTCACAGACACTTATTTTTGCATAGTTTTTACTCTGTTATTTGAAGTAAATTTCAGATATTTCGATAGAGAAAATGCTTTGAAGACATTTTTTGGCTAGAATTATTGTAATTTTGAAAATTAAAATATTTTTCATCTGCAATTTCATAGGAAGGGGAAAATTTATGTACATTAAACTGAAGATTCACCACCCCGAATGCCCTAACCATGTATGGTAGAGGTCTACAGGAACCGTGATCTCGAAAAAAAAAAAAGCGTTATAACGCATTTCTGAAAGCAAGATAAACTCATGAAATTATATTACACATTTACGTTTATCTTTGACCTGAAAATGCAATTACTCATTATTATTATCATAAAACAACGTATGAAATTTTTCACCGACTCTGAAGACTTATGGAGATAAAACAAAAATCGTCGTAAAAAGGCACGTGTGGTTTCGTTTTTGTGTTGCAGCATGATGAATTGTATACATGTACTACCAAAAACTGGGGCGGGGACAACCCAGTTTTTCAATGTACATATTTAATACTCAATTAACGTTAACAGTATAACATTATGTTTAGGAAAAAAGTGCCCCCCTCTCACCCCCTCGATAATATGTACCTGGTAAATGGTTTCTGAATTGTTGACTTTTAAGAAGATCTTCGTGTCTACGCTGCTCAAAGGGAGAGAAATTGGGTTCTCGTAAATGAAGATTTCGAGGCTGTTCAAGGAGAGGTCTACTTATCTCTTGATTGGAAACTGGGCATATTCACTGCAGTGATGAAAAACACTCATAACATTTGCTGTAAATACTTGTTTTTAGGGTGATTTACAAAGGGTTATAAAGAAACCCTCCGAGAAAATTTTTCCTACTTTCTCCATTAGTTTCGGTAAGATTTTTCCCTTTAAATTTCTCATTTTATTTTATTTCTATTTATAGCGAACTTTTTTCAGTACCTCGGCCCTTTTTATCCATTTCCTACTATATGTGACGTACAAGTTCCAGTTTGTTTACTTGGCTTTTTTTGTCAGAAAAACAATTGATACCTATCTCAGTGTAGAATAGGTTTTCCTCCATATATTTCAAGAAATTTCCGTACAGAATACTGACTCTTAGTAAGATTTCCCAACAGAAAACTGACTTCAGAGAAGGATTACTTCAAAGAAAATTGGTCTCTAAAATAGATCATTTCCCCACGAAAATACTAGTATTGTAGCCCTCTTTAGGTGACAACCAAACTAAAATCCACACTACATGGGTATTCTGAATAATAGGTCGCTGTTCTGAGACATTAAAAAAAATCCATATTTATTTGTTTTATGTGAAAATAGACCCCCGATTTTAGCCTCATCCTAAGTGTCAATAGTTACGGACTTGAATCCACGTGTGACTTGGGATTGTTTGCATATTATATGAGCAAGTGTTGCCCTACTACTCTATTTTACTGTAATTTCCTATTCATTCCATGCAGAATTTTCCCCTTTCCCATTTCAAATACTTACTTTAGGCCCCATTCTACCTCCGGGGGCTTTGAACAAATCTACACTACCTTAGGATGACTTGTCATCTACTAGTATTTGACTGATAAGGGTCTTGATGTTTTTAAGAAGCTTTTTTAAAAATGTTTTCCGATATAACACTTTACCCCGTATTTTGGTTCAGCCTTGTCCCTGGGGCATGGCCCCATTTACCTACCCCTTGGAATTATGATTTGAATGAAATATAGAGATAATGAACAGTATTCAAGCTCAAAGTCCATTAAAACAATACAAATCGGGAGGAGAGCAAACACGGACCTCGAAAAAACATCGAGGTGGGATCAGGTGCCATGGAGGGGTGAGCATCCCCTGCCGACCGGTCACACCCGCTGTGTGCTCCTTGTCATGATTGGGAAATAACGGGAAAATCCGTCGACAATTCAGTGTGTAAATAATGGCCTAACAATTAGTATGAAAAACGTCAGTCAGCATTTGACTCAATGATAAATTGTATTTGCTGACAAGGTCATTGTATCGACCATAGAACTTACGAAATGATGACTTTGAACGAGACTTTTGTGATATTCTTGTATCATCAGCTTGTTTGTCAATAACTTACCTCGTTTAGAAATACGTAGAGCATGCTCTTGTGTATCGAATCAACTGAGAGGTATACACCCGTTTGCAGGTGATAAGGGTATATTGCTGCATAAGTAAGGGAAGCTGACGATTGAAAAGTTAAAGTCATCACATTTATCATAAAGATTTGTTGTTAGATTACCACTAACGTCTTTTTCTAGTAAAATATCCAAATATGAAAAAGATGTGTCAGACACTGTGGTATCTTTCATTTCAAGCTCACTGGGATATATCGTGTCGACATATGAATGGAAATAACTATTGTTAATTGATAATACGTCGTCGATATATCTACATGTCGAGTTGAAGGCCACAGCAATTAACATATTTCTTTTTCTCATGTATAAGATTTTGAGTAAATTATGCTTCATATGAATACAAAAATAGGTCTGCTAACAACGGGACGCAATTGGTACCCATGGAAATTCCAACAGATTTTTGGAAGACATGGTCTCCAAAAACCGCATAGATATTGTCAATCAGAAACTCAAGCATCTTTTTGATATCAACTTCAGAGTACTTGTGTGTACAATCAGTTTGTTTTTCCTAAAATAACTTTGCAAATGACCAATGACAAGGTTAGTAAATTTACGAGTTTCATATTTATTGAAAAAGCAGCTGCAAATGATGTCAAAAACCCTTGAGTTTAATTTATCGTGGGAAATGGTTGTATACAGAGTTGAAAAGTCATAAGTTCTTACGTTACTGATTTTGGTAAAATTTTGTGATTTCAAATTTTCCAAAAGTTCCTTGGAATTTTTAAAGTATTTACATCTGATTTACACAACTTCTCAAAAATATTGTTGCACACTACTCCTGAAGTTTCTCCTTCACTGCTGTTAATATTTTAGTGAGGAGTAAAGAAAGAGACTTGGTAGAACATTTACTGGAACCGCATTGTATATTTGTTTTTAAGGATTTTTATGAAGTTTCGGAATCCAATACAAATATGGTAATTCAAATTCATTTTGGTTGTTGGGAATATTATTTTCTCCTTAGAAAGGGAGCTATGGGTATAAGTTGGATTGCCACTTGTAGAATTAAATCCCAGATCTTCTAAAATACAATTAAAATAATGAGCCTTGCAAACAAAGACAATGTTGTTACCTGCTCTGAACATTAAGGATAGATGGTTTTCATATTGCCCCTCAATCGCCACAATAAAATTACACAAGATAAGGATACTTGCATATTAATCAAAGCCCGACTGTCCTTGAAAAATAAGATTTAAACAAAAAAAAATTAATGCCTTTGGCTTCTTATTGTGTCCCCACCCACCCCTGGGGCTATGATTTGGACAAACTTTGATCTGATGTACATTACCTGATGATGCGTGTAAAGTAATATTGCTAATCAAGGCTCTGATGTTCTATAGAAGTAGATTTTAAAAGATTTTTCCTGTATATATCCCATGTAAAAGTGTGATCCCCTATTGTGGTTCCTCCCTCTTATAGGGGTCACGATTTGAACAACCTTGGAAGGAAGCTGTCACATATCAGGTATTTCATCTTTTCTTACCCAGTGGTTCTTGAGAAGACTTTTAAATTACCCCCACTCTATTTTTATTTCCTTTCGGAATAAGTTTGGTTACAATTGGCCAAGTGGTTCTAGAGAAAACGATTAAAGATTAGCTCACTTGAACCTTCGGCTCAGGTGCGCTCAAAAGTTAAATATAACAGACGTCCGACAAACTTTGATAAGAAAAGCTCAGGTAAGCTAACCAATGAATACATAACGACAAAACATATTTAATATCTACAAATCGTATACAGTTATTGTTTATGAAAATGTGGCTGTATTGTTAGATTGAACTATATCGGCAGCTCTGAACTTCATCTCTACCATCTTAAGGGAGTATTTAGTTCTTTTCCAGGTGAAATATTCTAATCCGTCATGGATCTACAAGTAAAAAAAGAGAAATATCTTTGAGATGTACATTTATCACTGGTTATCACTGTTATCACTGGTTTACAAGTTCCAATACGAAATAAACTGTATTTGACCTGTGTGTGTATTACATCTTTTTTTTTAACAAGAGGCCCATGGGCCACATAGCTCACTTGAGCACTGCATAAATGCATAAACAGTCCATACCTACCCCTAAAGGGGAGGAGGTATGATTTGAACAAACTTGAAACTATACTTACTTAGGATGCTTACATATTTCTTTGATTAACTGTGGCTTTTTCCTATAAATTTGAACTTTCATTGATTTTTAAAGATTTTTCCATTTCATGTAAAACTTTGATCGTCCATTGTGGCCCTGCTGTACCCCCGAGGGTCATGATTTGAACAAACTTGAATCTACACTGCATGAGAATATTTCCATATGAATAAGACCAGTCATGGCTTTGCTGTTCCTCTGAAGAAGATTTTCAAAGATTTTTCCTAAACCGTGATCGTCCATTACGGCCCCACCCTAACCCCCGCGGGTCATGATTTAGAGAAATTTGAATCTACACTACCTGAGGATGCTTCCATATAAATATGTCAGACCAATCATAGCTTTGCTGTTCTTTAGAATAAAAGTTTTAATGATTTTTCCTATATATTCCTATGTAAAACTTTGATGGTCCATTGTGGCCCCACCCTACTCCCGGGGGTCATGATTTGAACAAACTTGAATCTACACTACCTGGGGATGCTTCCACATAAGTTTCATCTTTCCTGGCTCAATGATTCTTGAGAAGATTTTTAAAAGATGCAATTAATTTTTTTTTACAAATTTGTTATTATCTCCCCTTGGAAGAGGTTGTGGCCCTTCATTTGAACAAACTTGAATCCCCTAAGGGATCGACATTAACGGCTGTCCGATTGCCCGGGGCAAGTAAATTCTCAGTTCGGGCAAGTGAAACTGCTGATGTACTTGTCCGATCGGGCAACTGAATATTTTTGATAGATTTTTTTTTATCTTACATTAGTTTATAAACAAAACAATAAATTGAACATTTGATTTCTACCAGGAATATGACATTGTTTTTGCATTCGGAAATTCCTAGATCGTACCGTTTATCAAAAAATCGGGTTCGTTATTCCGTTTTTCTTTCGTGGTAGATAGTTGACAAAAATACGCTTTTTCTTTCGTGGTAGATAGTTGACAAAAAAACTTTCTTTACATTCTTATGAAATAAGATATTATAAAATAGTTTATTTATTAACTCACAGAATATAAAGAACACCAGTTATTCTTGGCACACGATGTATTCTGATCAGGATATGTATGTCTTGAAACATGGCAACTATTTTCCTCCAGGGTTGCTACAGTTTTTCAGAGGGGGGGGGGGGATCAAAATTCACAAAAAGATCGCACAGAAAATAATTTCAAAAATATGAATTTTATTTTTAAGGAAATATTGCTGCATAGCAGTGTGAGTTTACAAATATTTAAAATGTAGCATGAGCAGCAGATCAATTTTTTTCTGCCACTTAACTTGCCAAACATAAAGTAATATCTAACTTTACTTACAATAATAAATTAAGATACCGGTTCTCTTCTTTCTAATTTTGGGCAACCAAGTTTTGCATTCCGACAAGTCAAAGTTTGAGTTCACTTGCCCGAAGGGCAAGTGAATCTGAAAGTTCATGTCTATCCCTGCCCTTTACCCAAGGATAGTCTGTGCCAAGATTGGTTGAAATTGGCTCAGTGGTTTTGGAGAAGAAGATAGAATTGTATAAAGTTAACGACAACGGCGACATTGACAAGGACGACAACAGACAACGGACAAATTTCGATCAGAAAAGCCCACTTGAGCCTTCAGCTCAGGTGAGCTAGAAAGATCTCAAAGATACTAAAATACAAAACCATAAGGCTACTGTAACAGTTCTGCAGCTACGAATTCCATTACATTTCAGAAATAGGGGGAGGGAGTTGTAATGAAAAATAAAAGTCTTCAACGAAACTGTAGCTCTACTGGTTTGTAAAAAAACAAATTTTTAAGAAAAGTAGCACTTTGACCTAAAATTATGGCAACACTTATAAAGTGAGTAATGATTCCTGGTTTAGTCTCTTTTGTGACTAGTTTTATTGAAATCAAAACAAATCTATAGAAGAAGTAGTATTTTGAAAGAATTTTTTAAAAAAATTATATTTTAAGTAACCATGGCAACACCGTTCGTAAAAAAAAAAAAATGATACTACATTGATCAAGCATTCTGAGAGTATTGCATTAGCAATACTAGTCCCCTACCGGCAAGTGTAATCTGGTTCCCGTTAAGAATTGAAAATGCCATAATTCCGTCAAAAATTAATGAAGCAGGAGGAAATGCAAACTTGATCTATAACTAATCAAGGTAAAGCCACATACCAAAAATCAGCTCAATATCTACAAGCGTTTAGAAGAAAATTGCGGAAAACCCTTAAAAACTGAAAAGGCTGTAATTCCGTCAAAAATAAATGAAGCGGAACGAAATGCAAACTTGATCTGTAACTCATCAAGATACACTCACATACCAAAAATCAGCTCAATATCTGCAAGCGTTTAGGAAAAAAGTGCGGAAAACCAAGTGGAACAGACTGACAGACATACAGAGGGACAGACAGACAGCTAGACAGACGGATGGACAGACTCAGAGGAAACCTATAGTCCCCTCCGGTTTCACCGGTAGGGGACTAATAATGCATTTTAGCGTCAACTTGTGTTTCAAGTTTTATTGATTGATTGACTGTTGTTTTACGTCCCGTTTTTTTCACCCATATAGAGACGTCACCATATACCGGTGAAGGAATTCAAATTTAGAACTTTACTCGGCACTAGGGGGCCATTGAGCAGTGAAGGTTCTTTATCGTGCCAACGCCTACCGTGACACAGGGCCTCGGTTTTTAAGGTCTCATCCGAAAGAACCGCAACTTTCACTTCAAAGTGCCGAGCGCTTGGCGAAGGAACAGTTGCTACCTATTTTTTTAGCGACTTAGGTCAGTCGCGGCCGTGATTCGAATACACGACCTTCCGATTACGGAGCGAGCACTCTACCGACTGAGCTACCGTGACGGTTTATCAAGTTTTATTGGCTGTAGGACGAGTAGCGTTTTGAAAAAAAAACAACAACAGACAAACAGAAGGTGGACGAAGGAAACCTTACCATCGCATAAACTCTTTTGGTCTCTGTTCGTAAAAGCACAAAAAAAGAACTAGACATACGATCAGCAGTCATGCATCTTCGTTTTGAGGCTTTGGCCCAAATAAGCACATAAAATTTGGTACACTAAGCTTCTTAGATCCCTTTCATTGGCTTTTACCATGCAGTTATTTGCAGTGCATTTTACATACCGAGCTGTTGTAATCCGGCGTGTGATAATAAACTCCGTTCAAATTTGCTGCCCAGCAGCCATTATACCAGAATCCTCCGTGATAGACTTGTGCACAGTTTGTCCGGAAGTTATCATTATCGCGGTCCTTGGTGGAAAACTTCATTCCGTTATGTGAAAATACCTTCCTAAAAGTAAATGAGGGCAAACAGTTACTGTAAGTAAATGGTTTAGAATAACGTTTCTTGTGAAAAATTTATTAGTTTTTTTTTGGCCATATTGAAAGGTGTGTCATGCCTTAATGTTAAAAAAAAATATTCAAGAAAAGGGATGAAAGGTAATTATTAAAGCTTTTTAAATCTTATATAACACAAAAACCAGTTTAGATCCATGTCACAGATACTACAAAGTGCTTCAGAGGAATGCTAACCAGTAAAAATTCAAGGCGTCTCCGGCGGTTCCTCTGTACCCACCAACCGTCAGTTTGAATTGCTCGGATTCGGAGCCGATCGAAAAATTATCATATTCTGCATATGCTGTATTATTGTCCCAATCCATCATATCGATTCTCAGCACCAGATTGGTTCTGTTGTGGGTCACGTTGTATAACCTTTCGGTGCCCCACCAGTAACTGGCTCCAAGATTTCCAAAACCTTCCTTGTAGTCGTTCCAATTTCGGTTGAAATTTACAACGCTGCCAACTCGTCTGCAAAATTAAGAAAATGACGGATATACTGAAATATTCAAAAGTGATCATATATTTAAAGCATTTTCAATATCATTAAATTTAGTTGACTGATTCTTTGTACAATGCTATAATAATGGATGATTAAAAATAGGTGTATTTGTCAAATCTATTAATTTACGAATAATAAAAGATTCAACTTTGCAAAAACGATATATTCATTTATTTTGCATATTCTCCTTTAAAAGGCTTGAAAATATTTTATATAATAGTTCTCCATTTTTGAAATAGAAAAAAATCTATTCTTACCTTTGGAAAATGGTCCATCCGCCATTGTCAGTGTGCATGTCGCAGACGGCCAGAGTTAACATTTTGTTTGGTTCTCTCACAGTATACACGGCGTCTCTGTTCATATTCCAGAAAGTCTTCAAGTCAGAACAGTCTCTGTTGGGGGCTAAAAATACCAAGTTTTAGAAACTTGCGTTTTGTTTCTTCTTTTTATGGTAACATAGGCTATGATGGTAATTAACTGAAGACTTCCGAGTGAACAGAGTTTTTTATAAGAGGATTATGAATAGAATTACCATCACTGCTAATGTATTATCTGATTTTTTTTAAAAAAGGTCTCCTGTAAGAAAATTTGCATGCAACACATCCAAGACCCCCTCCCCCCTAAGAAAGAAATTTGACTATTATAATTCTTTGACGTCGTGAAAAAAGAACTATGTGAAATCAAAGAAAATTTCCGAAGATGCATCGAAACTTACCCTGGTCGCACAGTTTTCCCTTGATTAGAGGTGAGTTACATTCGCAGTGGAAAGTACCATTATCATTTACACATTTACCATGTACACAAGGGTTGTCCTGGCATTCGTCAAAGTCTATAATTGATATATTATCACCACTGTTAGCGAGGTTGAAGTATTATCGTTTTTCAAGAAACAAGTTTGGATTGGACACGCAACTGTCTTGAACTCTAAATGCATGGTTTTAGAAAATTACAATTCTATTATATATTTTTGTCTATAATGAAAAAAAAAACTAACTGTTTTGTTTTTGATTAATTAGTCCTTCGTGAATTTCCTCTTTTATGACTGCAATTGTACATAATGACACTGTCTTGTTTACATACAATGTAAATCAATTTTGACCAGATGACAGTATTATTATACAAAAAAAGTTGTCTTCTTGTATATTTGAAGTCATTCTCATTTTATAATTTCAAAATTTACAGTATGAGAGGCAGTTGAAGGTAAAGGAAACATATATGTTACGGGTGGAACGTTCTTCATCTCAATTTTCTAGTAGTAAATATGGATATGAGTGCAAAATCAAAAAGAAAAAAAAAACTAGCCTGAAAATACAATTGAAGGGAAAAACTCACCATTTTCGCAATCTTTTCCATTCCATCCTGGAGCACACACGCAATAATAATCGTTGATGTCATCCAAACAGAATCCTCCATTCAAGCAAGGATCGCTCTCACATTCATCATTGTCTGTCGGGAGAATTCCAAAATCAAAGATCAAAGTACCGAAAGTACTGCATATGGACATTTAAAGAGACTGTATACTTTTGACAAATATATAGACTATAATTATCGTTAATTACTTGAATATCTTCAGATATTAAAAAATAAAGAAAGCCGTTTAATTGTTTTGAAAGTAGCATTTGATTTTTCAGTTCATTCTGTATCATTTCCTAATAACTACGTCCTGGAAAAAATTATGAAAGTTGTAAATAAATGTAGAGAATAATTATGCATTGAGCACCTTTTAAAGTAAACTTAATAATGCATTGATGTAGGTTACTAATGATAGGGAGAGAATACGAAATACTTTGAGAAGCAAAAAATCATCAAATAGACATGGCAAAAAGAAAAAAAACAAAACAAATAAAAAACACTATACTGATGCATGGTTCACCTACATATGGTATGTTAATTTATTAGAATATAAATTTTAATAATTAATCAATTAATTACTTAATTAAATAATGAAATTTTCCTTTTTTCAACATTTGGGGGAGGGTAACTTAAGGCAATTTCCCTCACTGATTAATTCTATACTTACTCATTTGACAGTGGACTCCTGAGAATCCTGGGGCGCAGTGACAGAGATACATGTTGATCAAATCTTCACAGGAACCGCCATTTTCACACGGGTTTGATGCGCATTCGTCAATATCTAAAACAATTTTTAAAAAACTTTTTACAATAATGAAAAAATTAGTCAAATTAGAAGAAATTTAAAGAGTTATAATCGGATTTATGTAGTGAATGCGTTATAAATCCATTTATCACAGCGCCCCACGTGGAAGGATGCGCGCGCAATATATGCGCAAGCATTTGTACATTCCATTCTCACACCATTTCCAAATGTTGCACGTTTAGGGTTTGCTGTGAATTTTTAAGAAAATTTAGAATACTGCACAATGACATTGTCAAAAGACTGTGGTGTACAAAGACGAGGTTTTACTGATTGTTTGCACTAATTGTACCGTTAGTGTACTTCAACATGCTAGAGTTTTCGACTTCGCGCCGAAGGGCTGTAAAGAGCGTATGGACGTTAGCCGAGGCTCTTACTTCTAGGAGTATTGTTGCTGTAAATATTGACCAAGATGTCCACAACATCTATAGTCGCCAAAGCCAAACAAGGCATTACAAAATGAAGAGAGAGAATAACGTCAATACCAGCGCTAGCAATGAGGAGGACATGCATAATACTACTACACACAGCACAAACGGTATGTCATCTTGTATGCCTGCATCAATTATTAGTATAATGTTTTCACTGTTGTATCAATTACATTTTTAAAAAATGCACAAGAAAATACTAAATGTTCAGTTAATCGATCATTCTGTTAAAATCAGTGGGAAAAGGCAAAGAATAAGCTAGTCATTACAATTGGTTTTATTGTATTTAGTAGACTCTAAATTTAAGCACACCCCCTTCAACCACAGAGTTTAGAGCAATATAAATATAATTATGCACACTTTAAGATTGGGTTCCATAAAACTCCCATTGACTTGAATTAAGTTAACCTCATACTCTTAAGATCACGCACTCGGCATCGTCGGTCATTGTTCCGATGTTGTAAGCGCCCGAGTATATATTTCATGGAGCCTTAATGTTATCAATATATGAGGCTATAATAATAAGACTTATTTATCTATTCACCAATCAATGAGCTTTGAAAGGGGGGCATATATATATATATATATAATTTATAAAAACAATACAATTACGTTTATAGCAAGTAATGGCTGCATTACGTGCAATATTAACCTGATCCTCACTTGTAATATTTAACTGTCCTCGCTAGCATCCCTCATACAATTGAAAGACTAGAGTGTTTTGATGCCAAATATCGTTACTTATTGTGTATATATGTGCACATTGTTATAAAATATGTATTTTAAGCTTGTTCTCCCTTCGATTAACATCTTCGTGTCCGTCCTCAATAAATCAGCAACCCCGGCCTGGGGAAACACTTTTTGAAACAGAAAACATTAAATTTCGTTACTCCTAGGCATTCAATTAATAAACATCGGTCATTCTTAAGTAAATATTAAACTACTTCCAATATTTATGCATGTCATGTTCCACCAAAGCAAGAATTAGGCGATGAGTTGAGAAATGGTTTTAATTTAATTTAGGGCGCGTGGAGTGAAGAGCAAATTAATTAATTAATTAATTGCAATTTCAGTAGATCTGTATCAAGACAAATTCAGTATATGTTGCTGAGTGAAATAGCTATGGGCGAATGGCTGTTCCTTTTCCTTAACACCTCTATCAAAACTAGGCCCATAAATCATGGAGGGGGATCAATATCCACATAACAATAAACCCAAAAATTTTATAGATTGAGGGACATAATCGGTATGATAGCACCATTGATAAGATCTTTACCTGGCAAAATGGATACAAAAAATCGTTTTTAGACTATTGTCTAGAAAACCAGATGATGTTTTGCTTACTTGGCTTCGAATAACTACTATGTCAAACGCCTTCCATTTGTTGTTACACATCGTCACCAATAAATAAATAAATAAAGTGATTAATAAATTAATTAAACACAAATGAAATATTATCTTTTTTCAATGGGTCGTCAGATCACAACCTGGTTCGAAATATGAAACGCATTTATTTATCTTGATGTCTTTCTGTTTTGCAAGTTCAGCTCACGCCAACATTTGCTCAAAATTGATGACACGTTTGGCGATTTTGGTCAGCATTGGGAATTCTTCAATGCGTTGAACATTTGTTCCCGTCACAAAAATTAATTCATCTGGGTTTGGAAATTGATACATGTCAAGTTTGTATTCTGACGAAAAGCTAATTAAACCTAAGATTTTGCTGATAGGAAGGGCCAATAAATCTTAAAAGTCACTTCAAATGAAATGCAATTCTTTCAGTGCCGTCTTACCGCGCTGTTACCAGCGTTCCCACGGTGCAATGACTGGCATAAAAAATGCAGCAACTTTTCATTTGTATAAAGACCATTTGTTTTTATGTCATTTAAATTTTGAATAACTTTATATTTATTTATTTACGATATGGCTGATTAAGCAGTAATATTCTTTAGCTGAGCACGGTAAGCGCAGACGGAAGGCATACTGGCTGCGGGAAAGCCAGCATATGGTTATACACCTATAATTGTAGTAAAGTTATTTTGGTTACGATTAGATCACACAACTTTATAAACAGACGTCAAAATATGTAAGATCTATACAATTTGATTTGATGTTTAGTATATTTAGAAATGACTTATACACGTTTTTAGATTTTACCTTATTAAATTGAGATCTCCATCATAGAATTACTTGATCCATGTTATCATCACGGAAGTACTATTTCATTTATCAACATTACTTGCATATACAGTGTAAAATTTTACAATATACAAATACATATATAGATTATTTAGTATGTATACACATAAATTGTTTGTACTGTTTGTAATTGTAGAAATCATGCTTGTTGTTTGTGATGCCTGAAAGGGCCCTGATTTGGAAATAAAGAATCTTATCTACCATACTATCATCAATAAATAAATAAATAAATAGTGTATTCCATCTCATGTTCTCATTAATGTTAATACGTATCCAACAGTAGATAATTAACTATCTTTAGTAAGAAAACCTTTTTATACTAAGCACTTTAAGTTTAAACTCGGCATTGCATAAGTAGAACCTCGTTATAAACGAGTACTTTCATCACGTAGACGTTAAACTGCGGGGGGGGGGGGGGGCAGTAGGGTAAAGAGACACAGTTACTCTCTGTATTGTTAATTATTAGCCATGCACCATTGTTTACGAATCAGAGCAAACATTCCTGGTAATTTATTATTTATATTAACCTTAAACTAGATGTGTTGCGTCTCAATATAAATATATCCACTATACATGTAAATTATATTCTTTTAGAACTTGAAAAGCTACTTACTTTCATGCGAATCAATTCAATTATTTGGAAGAGAACAATTTAAATGTTATCATTCATAGATTATAAACCCTGCACTTCAATAGAATAAGAAAGACATTTGAACTTTTTCTCTAGATACTTGGTTCATCTGTTCATTTTAATCACAGGCTTCTATAGCAGTAAATTTTAGTATGTTGTAACGATATGCACTGCCGAATCCTTAAATAGTTCAGTAAAGTTAACTATAGGGTCGTTTCCAGATGTGATGGGAAGTTCGATCAGGAAAAAGATCGCAAAAGTAATTAACTCAGTTACCAAGCATAATTATACTTACAACAAAGGATAATTTTTATATACAATTCGTCTGGCAGTAAGCTAAAATTTTTAAAAGCGGGCTTAAAAATAGTGAACTGCCAACTTGATTTAATATCATTTATAGTAGTAGTAGTATCATTGATATATATTCTGGGGGTCACGGCTGGTTTTGTGAGTAGAGTGTTAAGCTACCCCCACGTTTGTGGCGGCGTGCATATTACATGAGTAACTATGCACGTTTGGCGGATTTAGCTTAACACAATTTATCTCGATTAGCGCCGCTGTGAACAGGGCGCGGCTGCAACATAATTATTTTGACAACTGGTCAATGGAAAACAATTGACAGAACATTGATTAATTGAAACATTGTTTGGCTTAAACATAAACTTACTACAATTCATTGAATTGAGTGAGTATTGATTGATTGAACATTGATTGATTGAATATTGAAACATTGATTGATTGAACATTGATTGATTGAATATTGATTGATTGATTTAATATTGATTGATATTATTGAAAATGGATTGATTCATTGGACTGAAACTTTTTGATTGATTCAACTGAATATTCATTAATTGATTGGATATTCATTAATTGAATTGATAAATTTATTGATTGATTGATTGAACTTGATATTGATTGATTCAATTGAATATTGATTGATTGATTGAATATTGTTTTATAAGGCTGGCGCACCGCAAAATTTGGAAAGCAAACGCCAGTCTTATAGTGTAAAAAATGACATGTGTACAGTTAATATTGATTGATTGATTGTTTGCTTTGATTGGAGGTGTGCCAAAAACCAATTGGGTCGGCACCCACTGAACACATGTACCTTAAATATTTGATCTGCAACCAGCCGTGGCCATATGATGCCAAACTTAATAAATAAATAATTAAGAAATGGTGTCACTTGTTTTTTAGTGGTAGTCTGTGATAATCGGATTTATGTAGTGAATGCGTTATAAATCCATTTATCACAGCGCCCCACGTGGAAGGATGCGCGCGCAATATATGCGCAAGCATTTGTACATTCCATTCTCACACCATTTCCAAATGTTGCACGTTTAGGGTTTGCTGTGAATTTTTAAGAAAATTTACCCGCCCTTCCACACCCCATATTACTTTGACTTTTTCTGCGCCGAGTTCTTTTCATTTCAGAGAAAGAGGCCTAAGGAGCCAAGCTGTCAATCATTCTAAGACCTTGCCTTAGTCACGACCGGCCAAAGCTGCCATTCCTCGCCATACAGTGATGAATGCTATCGTGATGGACACTTCCAAGTACCAGAAGGAAGGATTTAGCTCACCCAATCGTATTGGCTTATTGACTCTAAACAGGGTGAAGCTGCAACACGATAACTATCGATCAAGGACTAGACAACACCCATCGTCACGGCTGGTCATCTTATTATGCGGACAGTATTGTCTCTGTAATTGACAGAGCGAAGAGCCAGTTGGAGAGATACATCGTATAGCGCTTAACACAAATCATCTTGACACGCGTCGCTGTTAACAGGGCGCAGCTGCAACTTGATTATGTGGATAACTTATCGATGGAAAACAACTAATTGACTTGATAATTAACACAGAACATTGATTAATTTATTGAAATATTGTTTGGCTTAAACATAAACTTACTACAATTCATTGAATTGAGTGAGTATTGATTGATTGAACATTGATTGATTGAACATTGATTGATTGAATATTGAAACATTGATTGATTGAACATTGATTGATTGAATATTGATTGATTGATTTAATATTGATTGATATTATTGAAAATGGATTGATTCATTGGACTGAAACTTTTTGATTGATTCAACTGAATATTCATTAATTGATTGGATATTCATTAATTGAATTGATAAATTTATTGATTGATTGATTGAACTTGATATTGATTGATTCAATTGAATATTGATTGATTGATTGAATATTGTTTTATAAGGCTGGCGCACCGCAAAATTTGGAAAGCAAACGCCAGTCTTATAGTGTAAAAAATGACATGTGTACAGTTAATATTGATTGATTGATTGTTTGCTTTGATTGGAGGTGTGCCAAAAACCAATTGGGTCGGCACCCACTGAACACATGTACCTTAAATATTTGATCTGCAACCAGCCGTGGCCATATGATGCCAAACTTAATAAATAAATAATTAAGAAATGGTGTCACTTGTTTTTTAGTGGTAGTCTGTGATAAATACGCTCAGATGACATTACCATCTTATAAATATGTGGCTAGGCGTTTACTAGGTTTGCATTTACATACATGTAGTATTCAGTCATATAATAAATTATATTTATACTAACCAACACTTGACATACATGTATTTAAAAATACTGGACAACAGAGTGAATAATACTATTTAAAAATCTGTTTATTTCTTTTCATTTGCATCGTCCTATTTAGATTAGAGCTTAAAACAGCAAAACATTTCGGAAAATCTTCTGAGTAGTGAGTACTATTTTGCAATGTACCATACTCTACTACATAGAGGTAGCCTACAGAAATTTATTACGTTCTCAAACAAAAAAGGGAACGATGCTATGAAGCTCATTACTAAGTTGTTTGAATAGGATGCGTGACAGTCCATGAATTGTAGCGTTCTTTCTCTGACTGGAATAATGTGTAAGGGCCACAGATTTAAAGAGATGTTATAGACTCTGCAACGTGATCCATTGGTAAATACACTGCAGACCATAAAAACCATTACAGAGCATCAATCAATGCTAGGAGCTCTACAAAAGCTTTTTCCTTTAGCATTTCATATCTTTAAAAGGACGACTGATACTCACGAATAGTGTAGTTTTGACCTGTGTAAGTAAGGACGACTGATATTTAAGGATAATGCAATTTTGACCTGTGTAAGTAATGACGACTGATACTTACTGATCTTGTTGTTCTGAATTGTGTATGTAAGGAACACTAATTCTTACAGATAGTGTAGTTTTAACCCGTGTAAGTAAGGACGACTGATACTTACGGATTGTGCAATTTTGGCCTGTGTAAGTAAGGACGACCGATACTTATACTGATTGAGCAGTTTGGACTTGTGTACGTAAGGACGACTGATACTTACTGATTCTGAGTTTGGACTTGTGTAAGTAAGGACGACCGATACTTATACTGATTGAGCAGTTTGGACTTGTGTAAGTAAGGACGACTGATACTTACTGATTGTGTAGTTTGGACCTGTGTAAGTAAGGCCGACTGATACTTACTGATTGTGTAGTTTGGATCTGTGTAAGTAAGGACGACTGATACGTACTGATTGTGCAGTTTGGACCTGTGTATCCTGCGTTACAGTTACAGACATAATCTCCATAGATGTTCGTACAGCTTCCGTGTCCACAGATACCAGTCGTGTGACATTCGTTCACATCTGTAAATACAAAGTTTAAAAATATGTCAGGCCTTTTACCAAAGCTCTAACACTGTTATCAGTGCGTGAGGACAAGACCCCTGCCCCTCCCGTATATGTATATATAGAGAGAAAAAGAGTGGGGTAGAATTTTTTATACGTTTGTTCTAGATAAGTTTTCGAATTGATGGCATGGATTATATCACAAATATGTCATTAAAAGATAATTTATTACAAAAAAATTTTTAAGGTCTTTATCGGGGGGGGGGGGGGTGTCCTCAAGCACCTGAGTTACATGTAAGTATAGTGCATATTCTTTTGATAAAGAAGAGATAGGGCTTTCATATTTGACATGTACATTACCTGTGACAAGACCTTTCCAAATATACTATGATTTTTGACCCCTTGACCTTGAAGTTTGACCTACTTTTCAAAAATGTTAACATTACTTGAAATTGGTTATAAAATTTGAATGAGAAAAGGTAGAACTTTTTTTTTTTAATAAATTCAGTTTTCACCAATTTCACGTAAAAATCGTATCACAAAGCAAGGACGTCTGTCCAATGATATTTATATTTTATTCTCATCTAACTAACAAAAGCGTTTCGTCACGCGAAGCAGTAATAAACAATTTACAATGCTCATGCAGGACAAAAAAAATTCCTAAATCTTAAACACAGATTTTTTTTTTATTGAAAAGAGTTTTCCAATTAATGAATTAATCGGATATAGCTGGAAAAGAACAGATATATATTATACAGGACAAAATCAAAACATGACACAGGTGAAATATACTGCAATGACCAAACCATATGAGCATAGTCTGTATGTGTGATATATTGATACTGATAAGCTGGGAAGGACCAACAATACCTATCATTAGTACTACAGATTTACTGAAGGGTAATTGATGTGTGTAGGTCAAATCAATGTACAGTAAAACTTGTCTAATCCGACCTCCTCTGGTTCCAAAGAAATTGGCCGGATTAGACAACATTTAAAACAATTGAATTTACTGCAAGGGACTTCAAGTTTTCACCGTATTAGACAATATTTCAGATTACACAACATCCGGATTAGACAAGTTTCACTAGCACTTATTTATTTTGGTATGCAACAACTTGTAAACAGACCTCAATGTCTTTTTAATATACCAAGGTCTAAACTTAGGTCAGTTGCACAATGAAACATGCATCGGACTAAACATTCACTGATGCACGTGCACATTCACGTTTAATTTGGAAGCTTGCAGTAGTTTGGATGTTTCTTGTGACCAGTTTGGACAGACCGAAAAACCGGTCGTCAAAGAATAACGGAGGGATAAATGCTGCATCAGACTAATCAGTGCAAGCTTGAGGTGAGTGAAAATTTTGGAGCATACCCTAAGGTAACTTAAGAGACCGTTAGACAGCCTGAGGGACAAACATAAGACATGGTGATTCCAATGCATCCCTCCTTAAACAACATCGTCCCAAGGGGGGATAAAAACCAGTTCCTTTTAATGAAATTTTGGGTTTAGTACATTTCTTATGCAGATTTATAGAGAGCAGACCGTATTACTCGAGATTACCTTCTTCGCAGTCTTGTCCCCTGTATCCGAGTGGACAATCACAGGTGTAATTTCCATTGGGTAGGGCTGTACATTTGGCCCCATGTGCACATGGACGCACCAAACATGGATCTGAATTTGGAAAATAATTGAACTTATGAATATTCATTCATGCATTTTAACTGTAAATATTTTGAATTTTCCTGAATAAGATATTTTAACGACTCTATTTTTTTGGATTGAACCCATGTGTTTTTAAAGTCGTTCAAATTAATACTAGTACTCACGAAAGACAATGCAAATGCTTCTGTGCCCAAATGAATTTTCAACTGATTCGTTAATTCTGAATGTGACCAGAATCACGAATACATGCAAATAAATCTTGTTTGGTGAAAGATTGCTTATCGTACACTCGTCAAACGTGTTCGAATGAAATACTTGATTTTTCGTGATTTACTGTTTCTTACTTCTGACCAACTTTAGCAACCCAAATGTTATCAAGTGGAATTGCATTTAAATGAAAAGTAAGAATAACGATAATACTTTTTATCCTACCTGAAAGCTTTGTAAGAATTGTCTGGTTAACATATGCCAGCTGATTTTTCAAAACTCCGTTCTCTGTCAACAGGTTGTGAACCTCGTCAGTTAAGATTCTAACCAGGCCATTCAGATTTTCTTCCTCCTTCTTCAGTTTACTGACTTCCTCTATGAGGTTCATAGTTCCTGTGACATTGTGGCCAAAGAGACCCAGAATCTGATCAATCTGTTTGTCGTGGTTGGCAAGGTGTTCAACCATAGCGGACGCAGTGGAGTTGTCCATTACGTGAGGGTTCACGAGGGAATCTTTGACCGGTATGGTCAGAGTATAGGTACAGGTACCATCGGGGTTACAATGACCGTCAAATTGATGGATTCTGTATCCATAGGGGTCCGCTGCTTGGGTAGACTGGCAAAAACTGTAGGAAATGTGCAGTAAAATTAGACTGAAAACGCGAAGCATTTTGCCGGCTTCTTTGTGAACGGAGTTCCAGAGATATTCTGACCAGATTTCTCTATCTCATAAAAAGTCGTGGAAAATCATGCGTCAAGGGTCATGTAGGTTAGATAATTCCAAGTGAACTTCTTAGCACTATATATTTCGACATACTTAGAACGGTGAACGTTTTATATTGAAAGTGCAAATAACTGCCATTTTTACTATAAAGAAATTCAGTGTAGTATCATGTTCTAAATTTTGAAAGGTGGGAGTAAATACGAAATTTACTTCCACTCAGTTATTTCAGAATTTTAGAACACGATCGACTGTGATAAATCTGTCTAAATGAAGTTCGCCTTTAATTTTGTCATGAGGATTTTTTCTGAAGAGAACTTGAAAGTTCATAACAAATTAAATTTATTTGTATCGAAAACGCTTATGGCATTTATTAACACTTGAGAATGATATTTTAAAGATTTGCCCAAGGCAAGTAGTTGTGCTTGTAATTATATTTTAAAACTAAGCAGAAAAATTGCTGTTTCCCACCCCACCCCCTCACCCCCAACAACTTATTTTTTGCGAAGCAAATACATGCATGGACATGTACAGTGTATGTAATAAAAATCAGTATAATTTGATAAATTAGGATGTTTTATGTCTTGTGAAAAAGATTCTCAAGTAAAAGGAATTAAATACGTCTGCTATTAAATGACCTTGATCAAATTGACCTTCTTTTACTCAAATCGAGTATATAAATATGCTGGTCAAAACTTGAAACGATCTACTTAGGTTTTCCTCGCTCACTTTTTCCTTTTCTTGAAAGTTCGACTGGACGTCTCTATATGAGTGAAAAATTCTCAAACGGAACGTAAAACAACAATCAATCAATCGACTGATTTTTTTTTTATTATGAAGAATAACATTTTAGAGAAGAGAGGAGTTTTTAACCATGATTTATTGTACCATTAAATCACAAAAACTTGAAAGTACCGCACAAGAACAAATTCTTAACTAAATTTTTTTTGTATCCCCCAATAGCACGAATTACTAGCTGAAACCTACTCCTCACAGAGGTCATGTTATGGTGTGAATTCTTATATTCCAGGTCCTCCCGAAATCAGGTTCAACCACCAATAGACTATATGCGGTTGAAAAAGCTCTTGTAATCTTTTTTTCAATTTCGTCCCATACATGTTCAATAAGATTGGAATCTGGAATATATGGGGATAACTCAATTACACCAAAAATGTGCTGATGCAGCATCTGTTAGGGATTCTAGCTGTGTGGGGAGTTGCCTTATGCATGAGAATAATTCCTCAATTTTCCCGGGTGTGAGGTATGGTCACTGGCCGGAGAATATTTTGATGCTTCACAGCATTCAGATTCCGGTGGATTGGAACATTTTATGTTTTTCCTATGAAACAATATAGTCGCCATAACCATGACGGTCCTGGTGAAGGGACGTCATTCGCCGTTTGCTTCGTCGACGCAAATTGGTTCCGTTGAAATTCTTGATAATGTTTTAGATTGTTTTGTTGTCTCAGTTGAAATTTCCATGCAAAGTTTTTTTTTGTAGATACAGTTTAAACAGTGTTCAATTTTGTTAACATTCGTAAATGCTGTGGCCTGAGAGTTACACCTTTGCAAATCATAGTATGAAGTTGACAAAAACAGTTTTCCAAGTAAGAGATATTCTATGTACAAATTAACAAATTAAATGCACTTTGCAGTAGCTGAATTAAAAAAAAATCTAGCCCTTTTATCCACAGGTATTCAGTGGCTAAATGACATATGTAGTATACATTGATGTTAACTGAAATATCAATGGGAATTGCGTAATAATTGAATTTTGTATTTCACTTCCTTATTTGTCGAACGAAGGCATTTTTCTTTGCTTGTTCGCCCATTTTCTTTGTTAATGTTCCCAATTGCTGTTTACACTTATGCAAATCATAGTATGAGGTTGACCAAAAAAGTTTCACTAACAGTTTTCCAAGAGATGTTCTATGTACCAATTAACCAATTATATGCACTTTGCAATAGCTGAAATAAAAAAAAACTAGCTCTTTTATCCACGGATATTCAGACAGTGGAAAATTGATATTCAAATTATTTCAAATATGTTTATAGAGTGCAAGCTAGCATTCAAACTTCTAGTTAAAGGAATGATAATAATATTTATCTATGTAAATACCCAAACTGACAAATTATGGCACTTTTCAGTGATGATTAAGTCGGATCATTGTCTGCTAATTTATCAAAATCGGCGAATTACAAGAAGCTTGAATGCCAGCTTGCTTTCAATTTCATATGTGTATTCCTTGTGACAAAAGCTTTCACAAACGCATCTTGTTTTTTCTGTTTTAATTTGTTTTTTTTTTTTTTTGGTTTGTTTTTATTTTATTTTATTTTATTTTTTTTTTTTGGGGGGGGGGGGGGGGTCTACAAAGAAATTCTTGTTAAGGAAAATTTTAAAAAATTACCATCAGTCCTGATTGTTATCAGATTACACAATAGTCTTTCTTAACGGCCTTTCGAGAATTTTTCACTCATTGATACGCCACCACTTCCCTGTGCAAGGCTGTAAATTAAGACCTTTTTGGCATTTAGGGCCATTGAGCAGTGAGGGAACTTTTCCGTACCAACAACTTCTAAGACAGGGGACATCGGTTTAGACAGTTCGAATCCCCGGTCTCCACGTCTCGCAGTGGGATTCGAACTCGCGACATATGGATCAACTCCTTACTCCGAGACTCTAAAGCAAACGCTTTGACTACGCGGGCGACCAAATTAAGACAGGAAGACTTTGCTGTGAATTGTAGAAAATGTATTATCATACATGAATATATCGTTCTGTATATAGTATGAATTTTTTTTTCTCTTTATAGCCTTTTATTTTTAGGAACAAAATAATGTGTTTTATACGGGATTCAGTCATGATCTTGTGAACTTAACTTTAAAGCATGGTAAGTGCGGGATAGTCCAGACAAGACTAGTGGGGGGGAGGGTTCCAGCTTCTAGTAAGCCCGTTGAAATCTTTCAACTTTACAATGCAACTCCTTTATATTAAATCTTTTAACAAAATGAAAATAAAATACAAGTTTTACATTTCAGTATTCAGTAAAGAAATATGTATTTCTACATGCCTTAAGGAAATCCGTTAAAATCCTACGTGTGAAACTAAAAACGACAGTATAATTTTTGGTGTGTTCATTTAGATCCGCCACTTTTGTTCGTTTTAAAGTGCAGGTAATATATTTGTAGTCGATCCCCTGAAAAATTATCAGTGTTCCATTCTTTGGAACATGACGTTCTTTGCAGAGTAAAACCTGACGACCCTGTGGCATGTCGGGTGTACTTTTGCATAAAGGGTATTTTGAAATTCTTTATATTATGCAAAGATTGTAAATGCTTGGTGGAAGCACCAATTTATTTACTTTGTGTGGCAAAGACTGTTTATTATCATTTATGTAAATCCTAGTTCTGCGTAGCCATAAGTCAAACAAAACAGGGGAAAAAACTATAAAATATTTTAATGGTTACAATTGTCATAAAAATATTGCATAAGATATATTTCCAATTAAAATCAATGGACATCTTTAATTTTTTTTAAGTGTTCGAAGTGCCTTGAAAGGTATTCTGCGTATAAAAGTATAAAAATTATAATTTCTGCAACTTATTAAACTTATCTTGCTAAGACATGTATATTGAAGTAGTATTGTACTACTGAATCTAAAAATGAACACAAATAGAGACAGTCAATATTGCACCAATCCCGTTTCTACAACTTCTCTAACCAGTAAAACATTTTTCTTTCCCTGTCGGATGGTATATGAGGTTTTATTCCCCTCTCAGCTACAAGTTCTTCTTCCGGAAACTCAGCTGGCGTTTCCGGTTGCCATTTTATAAGGTTGAATTTTTTCACAATTGCAACTAGTGGGATCCAGCCCATGGCGCTGATAATTAACATCGCTGCTATAAACTTACACCACCCTGGCCACTCTGTTGTTACATTATCTGCCTGAAGAAAATTAAATTTACATCGTTTTAAAAACAGCACACTTTGTCATCAACATCATCACTTACTGCTCATTTTAACGTAAAGATATAACAAGCTTATCTTTTAAAAAGATTGGTGAGCTAGAGCTGTAGCATAATAAAATACAGAAGAAGATATCTGAACCATTTGTTAAATTTGCTGAATCGATTAATTATAATAGGAAAGCAGATTGGTGCACTAGGGGTTGAGTTGGGGGGGGGGGGGCACAATTCTGAATGGTGAATCTAAGAGTGTGCTTCACGTCGGCAATGGCATAACTCCTAACTGTGCTTTAAGCATTCTGTATTTTACAGTAATTTCAATTTCGAGGTGAGTAGAACCAGTGAGCACCTTCGGGCCTTTCCGGCAAGCTCGGAAAACATATCCGAGGTTGCCGCGGTTTTCCGAGCTTGCCGGAAAGATCCATGAAGGTAGATAAGAAAAGCTTGCATTCATTACAACTTTAGAAATAACAGTCTTGGTTTTATAAAACCCGAGTTACTGTTACTTTTTGTTCATTTACGTGCAGATTAGACAACAAAATACGAAACTTCAGATCATATGTATTTTCAGATGATAAACACTAAATTGACATGTCTTTCAGACATACTCTGAAAAAGATTTTTGTTGTTGTTGTTGTTTTTTCCGAGCTTGCCGGAATTATCCACTAAGGTGGTAAAACTGTAAGGAAAGCTAGATGTCTAGAATCTTGGCATTATATGGCCAAATTTTTTCTTGTTCTTTTATGTGTGGGTTAGACAATAAATTTAAAAAAAAAAAATCAGAATCCTGATCTAGACTGGTATTGACTGTCTCTAACCTACAAAATGTATATCGCGCACATCAAACAGGAAAGGCCAGTGTAAACTCGGATCATTTCTAATTTTGTATGACAAAACGAAATTGTAATCGTACAGTCTATATTGTATCTACAGTAGTTTTCCCAGAACACCCGACCGTGAAGTCGAGCATGCGTATTTCAGAAATATAGACTAACGTAGTTGCTAGCGCTCGAGAGCGCTAGCAATAAGAGCAATCTTCTTATCGAAAACATTAAATTAATTTCAAAAAAACTATTCCTAAAAATTCCCTCAAGTGCACTTTCAAAACTTACTATGGAAGGAATCCATGCCTCGTATGTCGCGCTGCTAATCATTGATTTGATGAGACTTGCAAGGAAAATGACGATGATAACTAGGGGAGATACGTATTTCCACATAATCAACCAATAATAATTAGGCCTTTGTCCAGTCATTAGTTCGATGTCGTCACCAAACCTTAAAAATTAGAAAAAAAATTTTTTAATCAAACTGTTAAATGGACCCCCCCCCTTATTTTTTTTTCAAGTGTATACTTGCAAATGATGGCTCATTTCGCTTTAAGGAATTTGTGTCCAGATGCATTGCAATGATTACGAGATCTTACCTTTTCAGTCCATACGCGTACGTTAGTCCGAGGAGTTCGCCAAGGGCGATAATAAGGAGAGGAATGTTACCACTGTATTCATCAAACAGAACAAAAATGTATGGGCCCGCTGAGTCCGCATAACAGAAGGAGATAAGTAGGGATACCAAACAAAGAACAGCTAAAAGACAGCGAAAATACAATGTTAAACGATTATTAATATATTTTACAACCTGAGACAAAACCATCATATAGGGAAAAAAAATTAAACGTATCATATACTCAGACTTAATCAGCATCCAAATCAAAACTAAAACAAAAGGCTTTTCTCGGAAAATGCCCCCCCCCCCCCACGTACTACGGGTCAATTCTCTTCCAAGATAGGGGTATTACATAAGGATTGAACATAAAATGAATTAAAGAAACAATATATATATTTTTTAATTTTAGGGGCATTGACATACTAGTGTTTACAATTATAATGAAAGAGCACACGTTACCTGCCACCACTTCTTTACGTAGGTCTTTGACGAGGTTCATGTCGATGATAGAGGTGACGACCCCCTCTAACATTCCAAACATACTATCCAGTCCGAGGGTCAGTAACATTAGAAAGAATAACACTGACCACACCTGAGCGGCGGGCAACTGGTTAATGGCCTCTGTAAAGGCAATGAAAGCCAGTCCTGTTCCTGATCCGCTCTAAATAAAAGAGAAATCAGAAACTACAGATTGAACATGCAAAATGTGGGTTAGCTGCCTATTCACGCTGCCTTAAGGTTCATAAGCCCCTCTGCTCATTCATATAAAATGTTGCTTTAATGTTTATGATTTTCCGAAACAAATGCATTTTATAAGTAAAATACAAATATTTATATCACAGCTTGCAAAGCAAAATTAATCCAAACAAAAAAAAAACCAAAAAAAAAAGGAAAGAAAAAAAGAAAAGAATTTTCAACTTGACAAATCTTTAAAGGAATAATAAACATTTATCCCGTAAAAAGAGTTATCTCTCTTATCAGAGTATCAATGAACCTTAAGTTAATATAACAATCATACTGTGGATTGACTTAAATCAAAATAGATTGTGGAAGTCATTATTTCCCTATATCAACATGATAATAAAGTTAACTGAATCAGAAATAAGATGGTGGCTTAAGTTGTTCCAAATTAACCTTAGTGTGTATCAGTCCTACAAAACTAACATAGATACATATTTTATAACAGTTTTGCCATCAGTTACATCGTTTTATTTTTCATTAAATTTAGGTCATTTAGTTAAAAACTTATTGGGCATTTTATTAATTTGCTAGAAGGAACATATGAAACTAATTTTTTTTTTTTTTTGGGGGGGGGGGGGGGGTTTGTACCTTCTGTATCTCTGTTTTGATGTCACATGCCAGAAACCCCGTTGTCATATTCTGGCTCAATAACAAATCATTCTGGGCATTGCAGGCCTTGAAACTCTGTGTTGCTTTGAATCCTGAAAATGTATAGAAGACTATTTTATTGATTTGTAAAATGCTAGATCTATATAACTTTTCAAATGAATAGCTTAAAGGTCAGTTTTGGCCTAAGGCCTCCTCTTTTTTCATAGATATAACATTACATGTAGTAAATTGTTCCAAAATTTAATAAAATGTTCAAATGTATTTTACCGTTACTTTGTATTTTTCAGTTATTGCCATACATACTGGTATATCATATATTTGATAATTAGCCGAAATGTAACACATACAATTAGTATCTTACCTAGAATTGAGAAAATCACTATTCCTGCAAAAACGGAAGTGCCACAGTTTACGACAGAAACCAAGATGGCGTCTCTGTAGCAGTTGTTTCGAACTGGCATGTACGAGGAAAAGGCGATCAAGCCCCCAAAAGCCACACCAAGAGAAAAGAAGATTTGTGTGGCCGCCTCTAACCACACCTGTGGATCTCCAAGACGTGAAAACTGAAAAAAGTAATGCAAAATATTTGTTTAAATGATCTGTAAACGTTCAGGAAACAATGTCACATTGTTTAATATAAATGATTAAGTAATGTTTGTCGATCAGCTCTAGGAACTCAAGAAACATGAATGGGAAATGTCAATAACACATAGAGGCTTACATCTGGGATGAAAAAATGTTTGAGTCCTTCTTCAAATCCCTCAAGCGTCACACCACGGAAGAAAAAGATGAGAAGCACCAGATAAGGAAATGTTGCTGTGACATACACAACCTAAAGTAAATGAAATTAGAAAAGACTTTGTCATAAATCAATTGAAAAAGTAATACCGTGAATTTGTCCGGGTGCATTGAAAGAGATCAAGTTCCTGAAGAAAATCTCAGAAATTATACATGGCATAGGGCTGACAAAGTGTGCGTATCTTGCCCGATGTCGCTATTCCTTTTGCCGTTCACATGAAAACAATTATCCAAAATAAATGAAGACAATAAAAAGACCTTGTTGAATATCAATTGAATAAGTATGACCGTGAATTTGTTCGGGTATGTTGAAAGAGACCCAGTTTCTTGGAGAAAGTTCCAGAAATGAAATTTGGCATAATGCTGACAGTGCGTACCTTTCCCGATGTTGCTATTCCTTTTGCCATACACAGGAAAACAATTAGCCAGGCCGCTAATAAACTGACTACAATCCACCAGTTCAAGGTCCCGCGTTCATCAACGGAAGGCGAGATGTTGAGCGTTTCCCTGTACCAAAAATATGTCGTTGGGCCACTCATCTACAATAACGAAGATATAGTTTTATACATTTCATTGCAATGTAAATCAAAATTTATAGACTCGGGTTGCAGTGGAGTGTTACTAAAATTATGTTCTCTTGTGTTTTAATACAGCATTGGTAAAAATGATCATTTACTACAGATGAAAATGCGGAGGGTGTTATGGTTGATAATAAAGTCAAAGATCATAATTCTCTGTCAATTGATCATGCTTGTTTGTGTTTCTTTTATAATAAGTCTCTGAAAGTAACTACCGAACATTCCGAGGCATTGCCAGGACATTCAGCCCACGGCAAGGGGGACTGGAAGCTGTTGACCAGATAGTAGAGGCACCAGGCTATGATAGTATTATAATACAGCGAGACCCAGAAAGACACCATGGCACTAGCTATCCCGATACCAGCCAGATATGGCGATATTTGGTTCCAAGCGCCAATGGCACCTTTGCGCAAGCGCTGTCCCACCGCAAGTTCCAAGTAAAAGATGGGAACGCCCTCGATCGCCAACATGATTGTGTACGGTATGAGAAAAGCCCCTGCAAAGTAAAAACAATATCATATAAACTAGGTATGTACCTGGTATATCACTTAATTCTTAGCGTACAGGGTTCATTTATATAATACACATATAATTATTTAATTTGAATGTAATTTAATGTAGACATGGATATATAAGCTTTTTGTTTTACAACATATGCACCTTCGATCATATTCTTCCATTTAACACCGAGATTCCCAGGTATCGCTTACTCATGGGTTATTTATAAAAATTATATCATTTAAAAACTGTGTGTCCTCTATTCAAGGTCACCAAGCTTTCAACGTCAGTTCAGTATCAAGTCTACGGTTTCATGATTCTTTTTTGCTCTGTATAGACGAAGTGTTTCTAAAAGAAAAGGTTTACTCACCGCCTCCATTTTTCTGTGCTAAATATGGAAAACGCCATACATTTCCTAATCCTACAGCGTATCTACAAAAGAAAAAAAGATGATTTTGTTAACAATTGAGAGTTTGGGAGATAAACATGGGAAGTTTTAGTTCATAATTCCATGGAAAATTTAAGACGAAGCCATATGTCATAGTTGACAAAATTTGACGCTGGCAATAAAGAACATGTTAATACTATTATTATATACAATTTGTGATTAATAAATAAGTAGCCTGATGAGTATTTAGATAAAATCTTATCAGTGGGGATGATTTATGGGTATAGAACATGTACAAAAGTCGGCAAAAGGTCTCTGATTTTGTACACATGTGGACGCCCCGTCGTTTTGCTTTATTAGCAGAAATGTCAGACCAGCGGGGTAGTCGGTTACACTTTTTCAAACCATATATACAATCCCTGTCTGTATAATATATGCCATTGTTTACAAATTAAGATTTCAAAACTTTTTTTTTTATAAAATAATCTCAAAGTGAGACATATATGGGACCCTTCTCACAAAAGACTTACAACACTATTAAGTATCAACTGATTTTTTTTCTTCTAAGTCCAATTCAATCAAGTTTCTCTGTGATTTTATCCTTCAGTTGAAAAAAAAAAATCAAGGATATTGCTTATTTCTCTTCTTAGCTTTCAATTGGGACTCCTTTTTGACTCATATAACGTTGGATTCCTGTCATCTACATGCACTTATATATAGATAGCTTCTGTCTTTGGGGAATTAAAAGATTTAACCCCTCCATGCCCCCTCCCCCGCCATGCCCCCCCCCCCAATATCAAACGAACTGGGAGATGGCAGGATAGGCCCGTTTCGGTTTCATTCAATGATTAGATCTCACAATACCCTATGTATTGTAGCAATGACTCCTACTAAAAATAATACTCACCCAACGACTGCTAAGATATACTGAGCTTTGTTGTCCCAAGTTTCCCTCTCTTCCTTGGATTCTTTCGAACTTTCTCCATTTTCCGTCGCAATGAGAGCATCCGTAGACGTACCGGCCGTTTTGGCAGGATCGTCTGACATTCTTTCAGTTGATTCTCGCCAACTTTTCCTACTTCCTGTTTCCAGAGCGGATTCGAATGAGTTTCTTCGAAAGGGTGGGTACAAGTTGAGTGAAACGCCGTCCTTTTGCACGAGTGAGCTTGAACTCTCCACTGTGAAAATACTGGGGGTAGAAGCCGTTTCAGATAATGCGGGGTTGTCATATGCATACTGGTTTCGTCGGCCCGTTTGTCGCCTCGGGGGGTCTCGGTCTGCTTTGCCATGATACATTCTGATTAAGGTGTCAAAACCAGTCGGGCCTAGATATTGAACAGTGCGAATATCAATTAATTGAACAAACAAGTTACATCACCGAAAACACATCTGCAATATTTATCAAGTAATCCGCTTGCGTAACAACAAAACCTAGAAATGGTTTCCGGAGTGTAACTTCATGGACGTGTTTGCTTTATAATCTTCTCTTTTACTTACCGAAGAAATGTGTTGACATAAGAGTATCGCAAAGAACTTAAAATCACGTGCATTACCTTTGCTTTTTTGTAAAAGAATTTCTTGACAAAACGATGTCTCGCGTGAATGGAGGAATTATTAAACATGCATGGATCCTTTTTGTGATCATATACAAGTAAAGCATCATTCAGTTTTCAAGAAGACTGCACTCTAAAAACAGTTGACGCTCAAAGTTGATGTCACTAATTGAAAAGTTTTTTTTCTCTCTCTTTAAATAATTTAAGAATTAATTAGGAAATAATTTTTTTCAAAAAATCAAAAAATACTGTGCATGTATATCAGATTCGTCAACTTTAAAAATTTTCTACATTGTATTTAAAATTTTCGAATCTTTTCTGCAGAATAGTTAGGACTGTCCAAAGCTTAATCAGTAGTTGTTAATAATATAATATACGAAATATTCATATAAGTAGTATTTCTATTTTTCCCCCTGACACATTTTAACAATCGCATTATGGTTCAAGGCTAATTAATCTATCAGAATGCTACTTAGCAGTTCATGTTTGATTAATTATAGCATTAACATGCTACCTATACATCTCACACTACCCATGACTCGACCCCCCCCCCCCCCAGTAAAAAAAAAAACGGGGAGGGGGTTACAGTGTTTTACTCAAATAAAAAAAAGGAGATTTAAAAAGGCATTCTTCAAACTAAAATAGAGGTCTCTTGAAGGCTGAGAAGGAATTTATTTAGAGCAGATTCAAACTTGTTTGAACTTGGCCTTGGGAAGTTGGGGTGGATGAGGATACAATAGGACCTGATAGGGGAAGATAGGGCCATGTGAGTGTTTTAATTTTCAAACAATATTTTATTATGAATTATACATAAAAGGATTGGACAGCAGGCGTTACCTATATAAGTCATTTCCATAGTTCAAGGTCAAAATCTTACACGTACAAGTTATTAGTTACATAACATTGAGGGAAAAAAAAATACATATGGGTGTTTTGGTTCATTGGTCTTTTGTTTTGTAATCTGCTAGTTTTGGGATTTTTTTTTTTTTTTAGTTTCCTTATTATTTTTTTTTACCGAAATTTAAGGAGGAAGGGTAGTGGGAACAGACGCCATACCCCGCTCTGAATCCACTAGCCACTGCTACCTCTCTCCTATACAAATTTCATAACATCATTTACTAATTATAGTAATATAAACAAGGTGAGAGAAAACATATTCCAGATTTTCCCTCGAATTATCTTAGTAATGAAGGTTAAATTTAAAATGCTTAAACCATTTAAACTTGTTTTTTCTTTATTAAAAATTCTTTTGCATGAAATACAATGTACTTGTACTTGTACTTTATATTCGAGACTACATATATATCTAACTAAGACTGATAGCTTGTCAAGTATATTAAGAATGTGATTTTGATTTGAAATAAAAATCATACCTCTCTGGGGGATACCCTTCCTAATACTTAAGAACTGTTTCGTGTACCAGCTGACTTCCGTGTTACTTTATATTTTACGGATCAGTGAATTTAATTTTTTTTCAGTGCATTCTTAAAATAAATACTTGAAAAGTTTTAATCCGGTTTTTATATACCTTCATGATAAAACCCAGGTTTTCCATCATATCGTACACAGGATAGCTGTTATGTGTAGATTTAAGGAAATTCTAAACACTAACAAAAATGTTTTTGGACGCTGATTTTTTTTTATCATAAATATAAAGTTGTACATATTGAATTTTTCTAATTAATTTTCAGCATAGGGTACCTGCCATATTTCTCAAAGAAAAATATTCAAAGACAATGAAGTAATAGTGAACAGAAATCACTTTTATTTACTTCAATTGGAAAAAAAATATGCAAAGAATGCTATCAATTACTTTATCTTGGTCTAATATAATATTAAGAATGCTATGATCTATTTAAATCGTTATCTGACGTCTTGGCGTCAGACAGTACTAGATTTAGTCGTCTTGTCGGACAAGTCGTTCAGTAGCATTCTGGTGATCTTGGAAACTTTATACTAGAGAGCATCAGGATTTATAGAAGACCAGAGCACTGGATGTTAAAACAAAATTAATCTTAATATAATTTTTATCGCCATTTTACAGGTTACATAACATTAAGACCTTCATTCATTATTCATATCCAGCAAAACAGCAGGAATGAAGCTGGTTAGGACAACATTTGTTGAAAATTTTTAGATGTTTATTTTCAATACTTATCAAGCATCTCTGCATATATAAATAACTTGCGGACACAGGCCCGTAGAAAGCAGTTTCATAAGGCGGGGGGGGGGGGGGGGGCAGCTCTAGCCTAACAGAAGTTTTTAACACGTAAAAACAAAAGGTAATCAGACGTAATTTCTCAGGGAGTACACCAATTAATGAGCTCGTTTTTTTTTCAGTGAATACTGACAAAATTATAACCGTTATTTTTGCAATTTAGCATTGTTTTCTATAGTGAAGGATTTCATCGGCATTTGGGGGGGGGGGGGGGCGGCCCCTTCGTGCCCCCGGTTTCTACGGGCCCTTGACATGTTTAATTCATAGTAAAAGAAAAATAGAGGTAGAAAATGTAGATGAACTTTTTGTTGATGTAAGCTCATTTCTAACGAGTTTATTTTAAAAACATTTGATAGTATCCATTTATGATTATATCTCTTGGTGTTGTAACGCTTTTTGGAAGCACCGGATATATCCATGCTTAAGGACATATGATACAAACAATTTTTTTTTTAAAAATCATAAAAAATAGCAACTAAAGTCATGTTTATATAATTAAATTGAATAAGTTTAATAGCATAGATTTTAATTTTTCATTCAAAGTTCCACAATAATGTCCTTAAAGTGATAAAAAAAAAAAACGTTATACAGATTTATAAGGATGATTGCAGAAAGGTTTAATTTTGAACATCATAGAAAGTGTACAGTGAATGTTTTAGAAATGTGAGAATTGCATCATTTACAACCAAAATAGGTTCAAAATGTATATATTATTCCAGCTGGCGTCCTTTTTTTTGTATCGTCTTTCCTTAAGAAAGAAATAATATGTACCTGTAGAATGAATGTAGGTCTTAGTCTCATTTCCTTTTGATGGCACTATATTTAACTTTTCTTGGTTCTTAGGAATTTATTTATAAACTCTGATTTCTGTTGATGACGCTGGATTTAACTTTTCTTGATTCTTAGCACGATAATTTCAAAATTTGCTGACGACAAACAAGCTTTTTAGGAAACAAAGACTTGTGTCATTTTCTTTAGAGTCCCTTCTATTTAAACAAGTATCATTTGTTAAAGAACCTATGATTTGCAGCCGAAAATTACCGCTTGTGTCAATGTTTCTCGTAATGCTTTGTAAAACGTACTTCTTTCCTACTCTGAACCCATGCAGGTCACATACAATTTCAAATAAATTTGATCAAACTTAAGCTGCATGTACTGAATGCGAAAAACATTACTTTGCATTCATTATCTAACAGAAGCGGAAGCCCTTGTCCGAATGATATATAGAATCTAGAATGACATATACGAAGTCTAATTTGAACTAAATCACTGGTCCTGATTAAAATACACGTAAACAGCGAGCAATCTGACAGACATTGAAAGATATTCAGTTATAAACACCTTAACAATTCTCGGTTCTTCTTCAGCTTATTATGAACAATCGACCTCTGATAAGAGAGATAACTCTTACTGTTAAATATTTTTGATGACTGCTCCTAGGGATGTTGAACCTTAAGCATGCTCACCAACGTAATGAAAATCTATAACTGTGATATAGTCGTCACTCCATATTCGCATATGTTATGCGACATTCTGAAATTCGTTGCCATTGTTTTCCCTGTGTAAATCGTAGTAAATGTGATGAGATTAATAAACTCAGTTCAGTTCAGATATTTAGACTTGGGGCCACTGTTATTCAATGTATTATAATATTCATACGATAAAACTACTTGTTTACTTTATTGTTTTCACAATGAAAAAAGGGTTTGGTTTACAAACATTTTCACTGGCACATTATTTTTTTTTTATAATACATGTAATATTAACCTGAATTATAATACCCGCTATAGAATTATAAAAATGATACATCGAGCGTTATTGCACCAAAGTCACATTTAACAATATCACTTAATATGTTCTACAGCCAATATCATCCTGGCAAACTTTGTCCAAATACTCATCACACGGTTATCCAGTGCTTTAACTGAAACAAAGAAAAAAATCATTTAGGAACGGCTTTTCAATATTGTGAATGAAAATTCTTATTTCTGTTTTATGTCAAATTCTGTAGGAACAAGGAAAGTGCGTGCTCGCAAACACAACGAACTGGGTACTTATCAGAACATGACATTGTTCTTAAGATACCGGCGCAGAAAATTTGACAATTTTATCTGTTGCCAAGGACGCACAAAGGACTCACCCTGAAACGTTTGACGTCATTGGTTCTTGTGATTTCTTCGTGATCTCTTTTTGGGGTTATGCACTTTGCCAATCTCTGTGTAATTAGAACATGCAAGATTAAAAAAAATCATCAGAGTAATTCATTTATACTCCAGTCGCAACTGTTCTGCTAATTTCTCCGCCGAAAGTCTGATAATTTTTTGTTATATTTAATTTTATTTGTGAATATGGGCTTGTCATCATGTGTTTAATTACTATCTAGACAATATTAACTTCCCATTCTATCAATTAAGACATAATAGTGAATCTTACATAATAAATTTATTAACGCTTTCGATAATAATTACCCTAGAAATTCTTCCCATGAAATTAAATATAAATCAGACTTCTTATATTTATAAATGAAAGGATATTGCTGAGAAAGAATCCGTACATGTTCTCTACAGAAGATGCATATGTCAGCATAGAAAACTCCCACGTTTTTTTTTCTTCACTAAATTTCTATACTAATAAAACCTCTATTCTTTTATGTACTAAAATAATATTTAGCACCTATTTTTTTTTGAGAAGTTCTTGAGCGGATCAAATATTTTAATTATTATTACTCATGTCTTTGTACCTGTTTAAAAGTTCCTTTAGTGGACAGTATGTGATATACTGCATAACCTGGTATCAGGAGCATTGAGGAAAGAGCCACGCCCCATCCTATGACGTTAGCATACGTTGGATAAGTATACACGCCCATACTACCCTTATACGTCAGTGGTCGATAATGAGAAAAGCTTGATATCACAATAATCTATAAAAGACAAAGTAAGTTGTATCATACAAGGAAATGTCAAGAAAAAAAATTAAAAAATATCTTCTTTTGATTTTAGTTTAGATATATTATTTTAAACTAGCTCCAACCAGTATTCATGCCCAGGTCGAGACTTGCATTAATTTTGTTGCCGATATTGTAAGAGAATCTATATTCAAGTTTTAAGCTTAAATAATGAAAACAAACAATGCTAAATGAAACTTTTTCTATGAAAAAAAACCGCTTATATCTGATAGTCGCTTTAAATGTTCTAGAAGCTTTGCTATGATAACGATATCTAATTTACATCAAAACGCGATTCTTATCACCACTTCCACGAGGTCGTCTAAAAAAGAGAGAGGGTTCGTGAAGAAAGGTTGTTACCAGTAGGAATGTAGGACTGAGGATCTTCCAGCACACCCGCCAATACAGCCCTGGTCTGTGGCCTGTCATCTGATAAATGTCTGAACAAAACTGATCCACCCCTGAAAAAATTGGATCATAAGGTCTTAGAATTCTTATTTGACATATTCCACATTATAAAATACTCTTCATCAAGCCCTATTCTTCTAATAAGAATGAAAATCTTTTAATTATATATGTTTTTACTTACCGTAAAACCAGGAAACGGCGATGACTTGAAATAGAATGGCAAATACGATGGAAGTGCCAGCAGCGAATGTATCCAGTATTTTAAACACATACATACCTCCCTACAAAATTTAAAAAAAGAAAAATAAGTTGTTTATCAAGAAAAACAAGCAACTAGTTTACTTTACAGAGAATATACTATTGAATTTGTATCTAAATATTTGCTACTAAGTTATTATGCCATGAAAATTGTATAAGATTTCTTATGAAACCAAAAAAAAAAAAATGGTGTAAAATCTTTGATTTTTCCCCCATAGATAAAACTTTTGAGTTGAAATTCTCATATTTTATCTATAATATTATCATCAAAATAAGTAGGAAACTTAAGACAAAAAAAGTAAATGTACAAAAGATAAATGGGTTTGCACTGAAAGAAAAGAAATCAGTGCATCGCGTTTCACCTGCACTGCATTGCAAAGCCTTGACTCTATCATGATTCAAGCAACCTTTCCTATTTGTTATATTACACATGCTTTTTTTCGAAAGGTTAAATACCATCAGATTAACTTAAGAGGGGTTCATTTCTTTTTTTAACACTTGCTGGTAATACCCAGAATATTCTAGTAAAACCATGCGCAATTTCTATCAAACGTAAGAAGAAACCAAGTGTATGTAACACGTTTCTTGTACCATTACTTACTACGGTCATACATGGAATGGAGAATAGGAAGGCACTAACAACAATGACGAAGGTTAAAACTTCCCGTGCCCACCGGTGTCTAAATACCCTGTAGAATTGATCTCGTAGTCCCGTTAACGGAGACTCCAATCCGCCAAACTACCAAAAAAATTTAGACAAAATGTAAATGAAAGACAGTATAGTAATCAAATAACGCGAACAACGGTGAAACAATCAACGAAACAATGTTATGTTAAAACGCGAAGTGTAATAACAACGCAAAATGTAATAAACTGGGATTATTACATATTAAGTTATTACATTTTGCGTCGGGATCAACGCAGAATGTAATAAAGCAAAATGTAATAACACGATTTTTGGATTATTAATTTTTGCGTAATTACATTTTGCGTGGAATTAACGCAAAATGTAATGTATTTTTTGGTTGTTACATTTTGCGTTACTTAATTTTTGCGTTGAGGACAACCCAAAATGTAATAAAACAAAATGTAATAAAACAAAATATAATATTATTTTTTTTATATTGTGCTTTAAAGGTGCTTAGACACAGATTTGAAGTTAACATTTTCTCAAAATTTCTGTATAATATCACGACTTATATATTGCAATAGCATTTCACACGAAAATATAATTAAAAACTTATTTTATCTGGAAATTATTGGAACTACGAATTCCTGGACGCGATTGATTAACACATCCTTGCACTTTCACAAATTTTATTTTTATCCTTAATATTTAAGAAAAGAAGCGATTTTGTTTTGTATTAATGAAAAACATTACATCTATAATCCAGAAAATTCAGAGTAGAAATGTGCGAAAGCAAACCCCCTCACTAATATCGTCAGCCCGTGCTCAGTGTTGTGTACAGAGTTTAACAAATTGAATACACCCGTGAAACGTAAACTGTTTCTGTAAACAGGGCACGAGCTCTGTTATTGTTAATGTTTACGATTCACCGGGTGAGTTCAATTGTTAAAGTCTGCACACACCACTGAGCACGGACTGACAATACTGTGAGTGGGTTTTGCTTTCGAACATTTCTACTCTGAATTTTCTAGGTTATAGTTTTAATACTTTTCATTTATACACAACAAAACTGCCACTTCTCTTAAGTATTAAGAATAAAATTAAAAATTGTGAAAGTGCAAGGATGTGTCAATCAAACGCGTCCAGAAATTTGAAGTTTCGTAACTTCGAGATGAAATAAGATTTTTATTACATTTTAGTATGAAATGCTATAGCAACATATAAGTCATGAAATTATACAGAAAATCTGAGAAAATATTAACTTCAAATCTGTGTCCAAGCACCTTTAACGCGAAACATCACTAAATTGATTTAAACATATAACAATTGGGAAACTCGCTTTACTAATTAGAAAGACAGACCTATGACTATAAGACAAACGTTACGGCTTTTAGGAACATTACTTAATCTTATTGTATATTTTTCTAACTCTGTTTCTAACATTTTTATTGAATACTTATAAAACATTAACTTAACTTTGATTGACATGTCTATTTATAAATCAGTCTGTATTATATATCCATTATTGACATTAAAATATCAAATGATTTTTAATACATTTTGTGTTGTTATTACATTTCGCGTTGTAACAATTCTACTCACCGCACTATCCAACCCTAGCGTAATTAACATGAAAAAGAACAGAATCCCCCATATCGACGATCCCGGAAGTGTAGAAATGGCTTCTGGGTAGACGATGAAAACGAGACCCGGACCTTAAGTTTTAAAAGTTGTAATCATGTTACAATTTTTTATAGAACAGTTAATATTTATTTAGTCTATTGTTTTGTATTAAATTAAATACTTCATGAATATATTGAGTTATAAGGTATAGAAAAGCATCTATTTATTGTGTATGCGTTTTAACAAACAATTTTACCATCTTGTGCGACATCCCTGATGTGTTTTTGCTGTTTTTGAGCCATGTAACCAAGGTATGTGAATACCACAAAACCAGAAAAGATACTGGTGATGCAGTTAACGGATGCTGTTATGAGACAATCCCTGCAAATAAAAAATCGGTAAGATTTGAATTTATGGATTGGTGTACTTACAATATTTGACCTATAAATTTAAATTTTGAACCCTCCAAGTAGTTTAGAACATCTACGGTGTGAAACAAAAACTACTGCTTGTAATGTCATCTTATAGACATTCAAACTGGAGAAAAAAGGAGATTTGCTAAGTGTTGAATTAAGAGTATAAATCCTAAGACAATCATGATTCTTTAAGCACTTATTTATATTAACATTCTATTTTTATGACAAACAACCCTGAGGAGTTAATATACTGGTAATGATAAAACTATGTATAGATTAAGGGATAATGAGAAAACACATTTCTTTAAGGATTTTATTTATATATCCGGAAACAAAAACTACATCAGATCATTTGAAAAACCAGCTTGTTTATGCTTCTTTTGTTTATACCTGTAACAATTGTTATTAAACTTGTTATAACTGGCGTAAGCAATGTGAGTTCCAAATCCGGCGCCGATGGAAAAGAAAATCTGTACTGCTGCATCTATCCAGACCTAGGGGATAGAGAGAATTGAGAAAAATCAGATTTCAAAATCTACTTTGCATTTGATTACTCTTTTTGGGCAGCAATTACAAATACTAGTATTAGAAGAAGTTCTTATCAAACAATAAAGCAAGACGCATTTTTGAAACAAGAGCACAAGCACGCCCCCGCTAAAGAGCATATATTATTACTGCCTACTTGTAACTTCTATTACGCACTCACTCACATACACGCGCGCAATGCTATATCTCCTCCAACTTGGTGGTGTTGAAAATTACAGTATAATTCTAGGGTTGAGACCCATGCTTAAGGGGTTTGGTTGAAGGTGTGTCTGTTAGTTTAATAGAAAAAACTGAAACACACACTAAGTCATGACTTACCTGAATTTCCCCGAGCCTGCTCATGTTTGGAACGATGAAAAATTTGACCCCCTCTCCTGCACCGGGGAGCATGGAGCCTCGAATCAGCAGGGCAGTGAGAATAAGGTAAGGAACTGTGGCCGTGAACCAGACGACCTAATATGCATATGAATTATTATTCAATTTGAATATGGTAATATTTTTTTTACATTCGGATAAATTAAACCTCGAGTATATAACTATTTCACTGAAAATTCATAATACTATACATGTATTTTGGTAACAATATAAATTATTCTTCATTTCGAACTGAATTTCTTAAATCAAAAATTTGGTTCAAATTTAATAAAATCTTGTGTATTGTAACATTTACTACTAACATATAACAAAAATACCTTTCCTGCACTCTTAACACTTTTCCACAAACTGAGGTAAAGAATAATGAACGTGAGGGCCACACAGCCGGCTACCTCCCATTTGATTCCACCGAGGTTGTCAATCCCCGAACTCTTGTGTAAACTGAGAACGCCTCGTCTGTACGTAAAAAAAATCTCATACCACAATCTTTTAACTTCTTAATGTCACAATATATTTCATAGACACAGAATGCCAGATGCTTTGAACATGTACCTACTCAAAATATTCATAAGAGGAAGAGATAGCTGTGCTGGAGTTATAGGTCCTGTTTGAGTGTGTTTGATTGGTATCCCAGTCGGACTGCCAGCAGTCACGTGTGTTAAAGTCGTGATCACATCTAGACCAAGGGGTGTTCCAAGAGAAAGAAGAAAATAGGTAGTAGAACGCCCAGGCAATGACCATGTTGTAATAGAAAGCGACGATGTAGGCCATCCAACAAGAGGCAAAACCTATACCTATATAGGCAAGACTGATTAGAAGTGAATCCCAAATCCTTCAGAATTACTTTAAAATTACTTCAGTATTCCTATGTAAACTTGAAATTACTTCAGTGGGAACGCATTCTTATGTAAACCAGACTACAAGCCATTTTTCTTAATTATAAATATAAAATTACGAAATCAAAATAATTTGTTTAAAAACCTTTTTACTGAAATCGTTTGTCTGAACATATTTTCCCAGAAAATATTTACCTCTGAACATGGGTACAAGGTTATTCCACACATTTATGGGTCCCTCTTTGCTGAACTGCCCCATGCTTAGTTCCATAAAGAAGACGGGAACAGCGCCGAGTATAAGAACCGTGAAATATGGAATGATAAAAGCACCTGCAATATTCAATATAAACTACCTAAACGAGTGTAAGTCTTTTATTCTTGTACTATAGAATGTCAGGTTATCAATATACCAAACGTGTTTTTGTTTCAAGCAAGATCATTATAGCAAATATTTACTTGTTCTCAAACAAAAAGATACTTTATACAAAAGGTTTAACCGCGTTTATGGTACATTAGAGATGATTCCAATTATTGTTGCTTTGCCTTTAGAAATTGAAGCCTGTGTTTTATATATTTTGTTACCATTATGAAGGATCTCATCTTCAACAAAATTCAAATGTTCTAAGCTTCTTCGATTACTTTGCGATTTTCTTCTTAAAAGAAGATCATATTTTCCACTAAATGTTTCGATATACAGTAGTAAACATTTGGATTTATTTAATTTTTATTCCTATCACGTTAATATAAAAATAAATATGATCTACAGTGTATCATTAAACAGCAACACACTCACCGCCGCCATTTTTGTACGCTAAGTAGGGAAACCTCCATACATTAGATAAATCCACGGAGTATCCAATCGCCGCCAATAGATAGTCTCCACTGCCGCCCCAGTTTTCCTTGGGCGGTGCTACAAAGTGCTCCAACTTATTTTTGTTCTTTATATTATTATTTTCAGGGAGCATTTTCTCTTTAGAATCTTCATTATTATGGTCCCGTCCATTTTGCAAATTGTCCATTTTTATTAAAGGTCCAACATCATCAAATGTTGCCTCGTCTGAAGGACTTGGGAGTGTTTCACCATTATCCATGTTGTTTGAGTTGCAGTCAGGCTCTGCTTGGCCTTTATTCTGAAATATTATTGTAAGCCTTTTTTATTATAGTCTGGTATGTTTTTATTGTCACAGGGGTTAATGGAGAACGGTCGACCTATATGACACCAATAGTTAAGAAGCAGATTTGTTTTCTGGGGTGTTGTGATAAATGCTCGTTTGTACGGAATCTAGCGTTTGACATGTCAACACATTCGGTTATTAACGACACTGTTTCCTCGCGCGAGATCTTGCGATACGTTAGCGTGCGGCCAACAACCGTCAATGACGCGAACGCTGTTTGTCAAAAAACACAAATGACTTGAAAAAGTAAATAAAAAAAAAGTAAATAAACAACTTAAAATAAAGTTTTAAAAAATATATAATTCTTAACTTGACATTTGATTTGCGTTGTTTTTATGGTCAATTACTTTAATAGACTAGTTATGAAAATGAATATAGGTTTATTTTGATGTTGATGAGTATTTTCGAACAATACCATAGAATTCGTTTACTTTTTGTGTTAAATATTTGTCTTCCTGGCACATGGGGTTTTAATTTTGGTCCAAGTCATGTCTGTTTTACAAGAATAACTTCTGTATCTGTTAACGCTAGGGCATTTGCTTTGTAGTTTCAAAGATCGAAGAGGTAAACACACACACACAAATGAACAAGAAAAAAGTCATAATTATCGGAGTTGTTACCGACAAATGGAGGGAAGCGGCTCGTGGCAGTGTAAATTTCTTTTTCTTATGGGGTTTTTTTTTTTTTGCAATTAGAACTTATTTTGTTGAAAGTTAACAAATTGTCATAATAGGTGGCCAAAGTCTAAGTGATTTGTTTATCGCTTCATTTTTTTTAAAATTGTACTGCAGATATTCTCCATAAGCGTCTAACAATATGCAATGTTATTTCAGCAAATAAATGAAAGGGGGCACAAAAAAATAGTATAAAAATCTACAACACTTGAAATGCTACAATAATTCCATGCATCACAGCTGTGTTTTTACATGTATCATGGATATGGTTAAAAATACAGCGACGTATATATCGTATTCTCGGATATTTTACTTTGTACTTCGGGTTTCTTTCCACAAAAAGTAATCTTTTTTTCTTCCTGGTGATAAAGTTCCGTCAAACTTTTTGTTAATTTTCTTGTATTATTTATTGTATAATGGGTTTTAACTCTTACTAAATCACACAACATGAATTTCGTAGGTACGTATGAAGAATGGGTTTATTTTTCGTCTATCTTAGAGCTTTCAAACTTATCAGCTTGTCATTGTGGTTTTTTTTTTCATTTTTAAACTTGAATGAAATTAAATCCAATTCTGTCTAAATCTCAAACAAGATTATGCTTTTCCATCAGTATTACACTACAGTGAGGGAATTTTGCATGGTTTGGAACTTTTGACAGCTTTTGATATTAGTTATCAAGTTTTTTCTAATGTTTTGATTGAGTAATGGGCCATTTTGAATATTTTTAGGAAAGAATGTTAGATTTAAGTTCTAAGATTGTCAACTTTTCCACTTCTGCCTTTTTTCTCTAGAAGTTACAGAAGCACGGAGGAATAAATAAATTTTAGGTTAACGAGATTTTTCATGTTATTTTTAGCCTGAATGCTGAGAATACTGTACGGTATTGATGAAATTATGCTGTTCTTTTTGAGACACAAAATTATTTACCTTGAGTCGAATTTCATGTTACAAGCCCCAATTCCCAATGAAAAAAAAATGAAAAATGTGAAACTTGTTTACTTTTTTCGACTTTGCAAAATTTTCCCAATTAATACAAATTTCTGTTACTCAGTTTCTAAAAATTGATTTTTTTCGAAATAGATATACACGTACTTATATCTCCAATTTCAGAACTTTGTTATCATTTAAATTTCAGAATACATGTACGTGTATAGTTGCGTACATGTATATGTATTTCGACAAATAAAATTTTAAAATTAAATAATACTTTAATGGCTTTAATTTCATAAGTTAGCAATGAAATTAATTAAAATATATGCATATATATACGTATATATATGTAGAACGTGTCCATGAAGAACAAAATCATTCACAAAAGAATGACAACATATTTGTGCATTTTTGATGGTCTACATAGCACATTAACCCTGCAGTATACCTGAATTCATGTTTTGGAAACACTGACCTTTTTTTATTTATGGTCCTTTAAAAAGTCAACAATATTTGAGCTCTATTTTTCACTTTTTTATATTAAACGTAAAAGCGATTTGGATATACGGCTTTGTTGTAGTGGCATTATGAACATCTTAAAATTATAATTTATCATAAGTGACGGATTGATCAAATTTCGTTGAAATGTATTTCGAATTTTAGGGTGTATTTTTGCTTCAAAAATGCACACACTCTAGGGCTAACATTTTTTTTCTGCTAAAGGACAAGGTATGGTAAAGGTCGAGTTTGGCCCCTTATTTGATATGAAAATCAAAAGACGGTTAAAATGGTGATAGTTTGCAGTGAGAAAAGAAAACCTTTTACTTTAGTTTGCAGTAAGAAAAGAAACTTTAACTGATGCTTGTTTTATAGTCAGCATTGATTTTGATATAAAGTGTACACGGCGATCACAAGAGGGTGACAAAGTAGAACATTTTACCGAATTTCCTCCATTATGATGGACTTTCCTAAAATTTGAATTATTTTATTCCCTGGAAAACATAGAGCACAAGTTTGCCTAAGATTTTCATACAAATATGTGTTTCTCACACTTGTGCATGAAATACCAGTTTATAAATTTGATAGATAGGCAAGATTGTGCTCTGTATATTCTGAAATTGTGCTATTGAATTTATGAAAATTTGAATATAAAAATGAGAAAATTCGGGAAATGACAAATTTTAGGACCTTTTTGTGACCTCTGTGTATCCCGTCTCTTAAAATTTATACTCTTTATGGACTTTTTATGGACTACAACAGTTTTTTTCATAATGAACTACATATATTACATTCCCAAAGCGGGGACCAAAGAGGTGACTTATCATATCCTGTCCTCTACATATTTTCGCATCACTATGAGAAACATGGGAAAGATAGAAAAATTCATCGTGTTTTCCAAAACAAATAATTTTAAAAAAAAAGACAAAAATTCACCAAAATGTGGAAATACAAAATATTATCCTTATTATGATAACTGTCTAAGAAGTAGGACATTGTATATATTTTCAGGAAGAATTCATAGCTGCTATGTACATGCATGTCTTTGTGAATATTTATGCATTACATTGTATATAAACGCCCGAGAAATATGGGCACCCTACGTATTGCTTTTTCAAAACTTTCAGATTGTTAATTGTTTTTATTTAAATAATAGAAACAATAATATTTTAAAAAGAGTGAAAATTACTTTAAAAGATTTGGATACAGTGCGTATATATTCTTAGATATATAGCGTATCTTAAATGGCATTTATAATGTTTATTTTCGATAACATAGGCTGTCGTTGACCTCGGAAAGTAAAATAAACACAGCGGCCTCGTTAGGCGATTTTTTCTTTCGTTTCATGCTTTATCCCTCAAAACAATTAAAGCAAACCTTCTCTATGGTAACATAAACAATTAACAATTTCTCTTGTCTCCGTCTTTTATTTTATTCAATTCATTCCAAATTAATCAGCAAGTCTTCAAGATCGTTGGCATTCTTCATTTGTTGAAATCAGTGTTCCCGTAGCGTAAATTTTCTCGCTTCAACAATATCGAATGTTGGTTTATACGTTCCTTACAGCTCCTCTTGGAGAAGATCGAGAACAAATCAGACATTTCAAGCAATTTTATTGATCATATTTTACATCCTTGTAAAACAGATCCCGAAATACTTATCGTTTATCAGGGCATGTTTTCTCTTCGCATGTTTTTCGTAGCCGCCAAAGCTTTTTTGATGAGCAATTATTGCTAATCGAAATTTTTGGAAGAAGCGAGGTGGTCTAAATTCCCAGGTCTAAGTTCTTTAAATCAAAAGGTCGCGGAGAAGCAATAGACTTCTAAATATTACTATTTCAGCATTTTCCCTAGTTTCTTTACTTTGCGAAAACCTTGTTCCTGGAGTAATTGTTCAAATTATACTAGTGATAATTTCGTTCCCACGTTAAATACGTTTTTTAAAAAATGATATCTATAGTTATTTTAGGTTATAGCCCATGAAATGAAACACAATAAACTTATTATCTATTATGCAAGTCATTTTTAAATAATTGTTTACTCTCTCTCTCTCTCTCTCTCTCTCTCGTATTTTTAGAGTCATTTGCTCTTAGGAAATTGGACGACACTCCTTTTTTTGGTTCACTACATTTTTTCCTTCTTTACATTCTTTAAAATAAAATACACTATATCTAGCGGTATATTACGTATTTACAATCCACGCTATCGTTCCGTTAATTTTTCTCTCGGTTAAATTATCTCAACATTCATGTATTGAAGATACCATTTTGCTCCTGTCAGGTCAAAGATAATTATATTAACAATACAAGCTTAATCTTTTAAAAAGATAGGTGAGCTAGCGCTGTAGCTATCATAAACCACAGAATTAGATATCTGAATTATTGGATTAATTTGCTGAATTGATTAAGGGGACTACCATTTGATTCTGAGGAGGGGAGTTGGGTGGGGGTCTAGAAAAATCTTTCGAGTACTTATTTCCATGCCAGTCAAGGACAAATTATTTATTTTCAAGATGGTCAAGGACAGATTATTCATTTTCTTCTTCACTGAAAAAGTTTGAAAAAAAAAACAAACAAAAAACAAAAAAAAGTTCAAAGAGGGAATGGGGGGGGGGGGTTAAGTAGCAATAGTCAATGACAGATTATTTATTTTCTTGCCGGTCGTGGAAAGACAGTTATTTATTTTCAACTTTTTTGAGGACAGATTATTTATTTCCAAAATCTGCCAGCCCCCCCCCCCCCTTCAGAATCAAATGGTCGTCCCTAATTATTAATAGGAAGACACAGTGGTACACTGGAGGTAGTGTTGGGGGGATGTGTCTTAATTCAGAATGGTGAAGGTTTCAGCTATTCA